ACAATTATGTATGTGTGCCGTGTTTCCTACATCTAACTAATTCGTGCCCTGTAGATCTATCCGGGATCCAAAATACTTAATTTCCCATACCTGAGCTGTCCTCAGCTCACAAAAATTAAAAATATATTTTCATCATAGTATGATAGTTAAAATATTCACTGGCCAGCTGCGGCTTTGAGTCTTTTCCGATCCTCGTTTATTAGTCTCTGACTGCCATACCATAGGCTCCTCACAGGGTGTCCTTGTCGCACATAAGCGGGGAACAAATTGGTACTGTTATACTTGTTAGACAGCTTGCAGCCTCCAGGGGAGATCATGAATACGTGTTTCCCTCGTGACAACTTGCTATTGCCCATCGCCCGTCGTAGAATGGTTCGAATTTGTGTCTACATTATCGTACTCGTAACTTCCAGTCGCCTGATGCGTATGTCCACATGAGTGCTTTCTTTTCTTGTAGGTATGATCGGATCTGGTCGCGGACGGCCTTCATACTAGCGACGTAAAATCTTGCTATGGGTGCGGCATGTGCTTTTACTAACTCGGCGGCCTAGTCATTTTCCTCTCTTAGAGTTGACTCACAGGTGTATTCTGGGTACGCCAATTCTTCATTTGGTGGCTGTGTTCCAAATAAGAGGAAGTAGGGACTGTATCCGGATGGAGCTACCCTTCGGTTGTACATCATAACTGCATGAGGAAGTGCTTCATTGGGTGATTTAATAGAGCCGTCTAGTAGGATCCTAGCTAGAATGGCTTTGAGCACGCCGTTTGCTTGTTCTACCTTGCCGTTGCTTTGAGGCCTTATGGGGGTCGAGTGGGTGACCTTAATTTAATACCGGGCGTGGAAGCTCTGCGCCTCTAAGCCACTGAAACATCCTGCATTGTCGCTGATGAGTTGCTTTGGAGCGCCAAAGCAATTGATGATGTGCATCAACAGGAGTACAGTATTTTGGAAGTTAGTGTTTGGTACTAACCGCGATTCTAACCAACCCGTTGAGTATTCGACTGCATCTAAAAGTATCTGCGGTCCGACTTGGGTGTGGTCAATACCCCAACGAGTTAGGGGTGGGGCTGGTTGAATAGGTGTTAGGTTACCTAGCGCTGGGTCCGGCTGCTTCATTAGTTGGCACGAACGGCAGTTTTGAACAGCTTGGAGTGCGGCCAGAAGTAATTCAGGGTGCCAAAATTTCCGGTTGGCTACTTGCATGGTCGTCCCGATGGATGCATGTCCTTAGCTTTCGAGTATGATTCCGATCTCCTTTTCAAGTTCTTCTCGTTCTAGCACGGGGACTATGCTGCGGGACGTTGCTGCCGTTAGCGAATCTCCTATAGCCGTCGAGGTTATTGGCCTGACTAAATGCAGTTTATTGTCGTAGATTGTAAACGTCCTCTTTACCCAATTTGCGGTGAGTTTTGGTGGTAGGTCTTGTCCGGTTAAAAGGTACTCGAAAATACATTGAAGGTCTATCCAGTTTAAATGTTCGGGATTGCTCAAGGTTTCCTGCTCATGTAGGCTGCCTTGCTCTGGAATCATTTCCTGAATGTTGCGTAGATCTTCGTGCTTTTCTCTAGTAGGGTACATATTTTCCGTTGGGCGTGATAAGTAGTCTGCCAAAACACTTGCCTTACCTTTTTGATACACTATGCGTATGCCATAATGCTCGATGCTGTCTAGGAATCGGACGATTCTTACTGGTTGTTCAGCTTTAGTTCGGATTGACTTGAGTGATTCATGGTCCGTAACAACAGTGACGTCCGATCCTTCGACCCAGTGCCGCCAGTGTTGTAAAGCCATTAAGATTGCCAGTAGTTCCCGTTCCTGAGCCGAGTACCGTTGCTGCGTGTCGTTGAGTTTACGTGAAAAATAGGCTATAGGATGAAGAATAGATCGAGAGTTATCAGATACAGAAATGCTAGGCTGGAGTAATACTGCTCCAAGGAACTTTTGGGATGCGTCTGTTTCCAAAACAACAGGCAGGCGCCAATCGAAACATTTTACCACTGGAGTAGTTGTGAGGGCGTCTTTAATTTTGCTCCATGCTGCTTGAGACTCGGCAGTTAGAACAACAGGCGAATTCTTTGGACCGATGGACTGATCAATGAGAGGGCCGGCCAATTTTAAGAAATCTTTTATTAGTGAACGAAGATAGCTTGCGGCGTTGACAAACCCGCAAATCTCAGACGTAGTTTTTGGCATAGGCCTATCTCGTATTGCAGAGACTTTATTTGGGTCTGCTGAAATGCCCAGAAAAGAGATAGAAAATCCAAGGAAAATACTGTGTGTAACAAAAAGATGGCATTTGGATGTGTTGAGAATTAATCCATACTCCGCAAACCTAGTAAAAATGAGAATCAAACGAGTGTGAAGTTCTTCGGGTGTGTTTCCCCAGACTGCTACGTCATCTAGGAGTCCTGCGACAAACGGTCTGAATGGTTGAAGGACTTCTTCCATAAATGATTGAAACGTGGCCGGAGCGTTACAGAGTCCAAAAGGCATAACTAGCCATAGGTAGACACCGAAGGGGGTGACGAAGGCGGTCTTTTCGCTGTCATCTTCGTGCATGCTGATTAGCCAGAAACCATTTTCGAGGTCAAGAAATGCGTAGTATTTGTGTCCGGAAGCTCGTTGAATTTCATCTTGAGTATTTGGTAACAGATATGCGTGTTTTTTTGTAACTTTATTTAGTTCTCTATAAGCAACACATATTTGCCAAATTACTTTTTCAGAGCTTACGTTTGTCTTTTTTGGTGTAAGTAGCAAGGGTGCTGCCCAGGGTCCTTTGCATTTTTTGATTAATGTTCCTTTGTGAGCTTTGTAAAAATCGCGGATAGCTTGAAATTGTGATGGGCTGTAGCGTCTTGGAGGAAGTTTGATTGGAGAGCTATTACCTGTATCTATTCGGTGGGAGGTTTTAGAAAGAATGTCGGATCTTCTCAAAGATTTATCCAAAAGGGAAGGAAATTGTTCTGCATAAATTCGACCATATTTTAAACCCTGAGTTTTAGTACTCGGGTGCCATTTTACTTTTATTACCTCTGTGGCCGTACAGATTTGTTGGGAAAGATTGTGTTTACTGTGGGGGGTTAGGGTTGGTTTTTCTGGAAATTCAAGGAGCTCAATCTCGCCATTGGCAAGGAATTTTAATCCGAAAGTATGGAATACAGTTTGCCCGAGCGTGAGATCTCCAGGAAATATTCCGTCCGGCACAACGCCTGCTGAAACAGTAAATGGCGTTGACCACTTCGCATTATGTGAGGGTAAGGAAAATTGCGCATTGACTAAAACATCTTGGGAGACAGTGGGATCTTTGCCACCTATTTCAGAAATCGTGGAAGTATAGTTTGTCTGGTAGGGGCTTAGTTTTTGTGCGAGAGAAAAGGAAATATAACAAGGACAACCGTAATCGAAAAAAGTCGAGAAACTGAACAAAGGAGACGTTGTTAAACGAGTTTAAAATAAGTTGTGTGGCTTGCCATGTCCCTCTCGTGTTGGTTTGATGGCGAGGGGGGTGGTGTGATTGTCAATGTCTACTGCCACGAAGTAGGCATCTTGACGTCTTTACTCAACGGGATATTCTTCTTCTAATTTATCGAAGAATTTTTCCAAATCGTCGTCTGTTGGAAAACGATCTGCATTATCATAGTCACCAGATGTCTCTTCGGGGTCAATTGAGTTGATAAGATAGGTCCCTCGGTTCCCTGGTCTCCTTATGTGCTGCGGTTGCTTTTGATTCCTACTTTTGTCCAAGAGGGCCGAAATTTTCTTCTTGAAGTTACCGTACTTACCTTTACTGGTATCTTGCTTGTAATACGGCGGTACTTGCTTTGTTTAGTTATTCTTTGGGAATTATCTAGCTCAGTGTCCCATATTTTTACAAATGGCACAACTGCCGTCGCGTACCAGAAAAGAGCTCTCAAGTTTAGGTGATGTCATGTCAGCTTTCTCTTGAATTGGGAATACTAAAGGCTGGTTCTGCCTGGGATCTGATATCATGAGCTTAGACGATGAGTTTGTATCCGCGCTAACGCAAATATTTGCTTGCACTGGCCATTTTGAGATCCGGGTCGCTATTTGAACAAGTAGTTCGACACCATCACTGTTTGATCTTCCTACCATCATTGGCTGGAGATGTGTCCATATATGCGGCAAGTAGGTCTTTGTGATATCAGATAGAGTATCTCGAGTAGTATCGTTTCCTCTGTCTTGCTTGGACAGGCCGTAGTAGCATTCGCGGATTCTGGTGGTGAAGGATTTAACGTCTTCTCCATCTCTGGCAGCGAGGCGGGAGAAGATGGTTCTAGGACCATGTAGGACGTCTAGTTGCTGCATAGTTTTGAAGATTGCTTCCAGTAGCAGGGGCCAAGTAGTTGCCGGATTTTCCTCAGCCCAAATGCGTGTACATTGGAAGTCCTCTTCATGTCTAAGCAAAGCCGTTGTGGCCAGTACCAGTACGGGAATAAGGCAATTCTAAAAGCTGACTGAATTTCAGCGAGCTTGGAAAATACAGTAGAATTGGCCTTGTCCAGGCGAAGTTCCGGTCTTATTATCACCTTATTTTTTATGCTGGTATATGCCTCGTGATTTACCTCATGAGCCAGAAGTGCTTGAGGCCAAGCTTCTTTGACAAAATTTTCGCCAGGTGTTAAAGCGAAGGAATCGGGCTCTGGTTTGGAGGTGACATTAGTGCTGTCTATTTTACTTGGTATATGAAATGGGGAACGTACGCTTGCGGTGACAGCTAAGATAGATTGGATTGCAGAAGATGAGATTGATCAAATGATGTGTGAAAATGTATATAGAATATGTGTCTATCTACATAGGAAAGATTTATCCTTTTATGCGTGGCCAAGTCGCTTACTAGCAAATCACTTGGACCACTCTGTTCATCCATGCTATTTCCCACTCCGAGGCAAATGCGCCAAACACATCATGTGAGTTGTCTTCCCTGCAGGAAGAACTCCATGACGTACCCTCTTCACGAGCACCACGTGCCTTATCTACTTTAGCTAAGCACAACACTGTTGACCGGAGGGTATGTATCCGGCCTTGCCGGGGCTTTGCCTTTTTCAGGTCGGGTCGCCAAAATGGAGGCTTCAGACATTGCGAGCTTACCAGGTTGGTTTCTTGGTTGGATCGCTTTGAGACTCGTCTTTATCTCGTACATTGTTATTTCTATGCGGTCCATCCTTTTGGCCACTATTTTGCTTTGTTCTGCTTGGTGGATGGCGATGTCTGTTTGCAAACCTAACACGCTTTCAAGTTTTTCGAGTTGCTTCTCGATCCTATTGTTGAACTCGCTTTGCTGGTCAATATGATCACTGTGACAAAACCAAGCTGGTTGTAGTGAACTTTTAGAAAGATTAAATAATATGAAGAGAGAAGTATCAAAACTACGGGCAATGACTATTTGTACATCCTTCTAGCTCATCCAGTACGTACTCTGTTGGTGAGATTGACATATTGCTCCGCCACTGCCCGTCGTCATCTTTGCCATCCAGCTAACTCTCTCAATTGGTAATTCTACTTCGCCGTCTCACATTCCTTCCTAGCTTTAATGTAATGTGGCCAAGTGAAACTTAGTCGCTTGATACAAGATAATATGTAACACTCTCCCTAATACGCCCCCAAACTCCGCTTAGGTCTCCGCCTAAGCTAAACCACGGTCAAACCGTAACAATCACGAACCTTTTTTTTAACACCTGCAATTGTCGCTGGCTCGCTCCTTTCAGACATGGTGTATTGTTGGATAGGTTGATCTTAATTTTTTTTCGAAACTTGGAAATGAGGTTTACTCTTCAAAAATATATTTTTGAGGTTCCGAGCGTGCGTTGTATACTTAGTATACATTGGGTGTGGGTGTAAGATTGGGGTGTAAGATTGGGGTGATATCATGTGGTGTCTCGTGGCTCCTAACTACAACAGATCTTGTGTAGAGCTTGAGACTAATACGTCAATTCTATATTCTTCAAGTGTCGGATGTCTATGTGTCTATATACATTGATTACTCACTCCTCAACGCTAGTAGATCTACTGCTGTGGTCGCGGGCTGTTACCGCGGGCTCTGACAGTGCGATTTGCTGCGCGTGAGGTCATAGGATAATTACAATTATGTATGTGTGCCGTGTTTCCTACATCTAGCTAATTCGTGCCTTGTAGATCTATCCGGGATCCACAACTCTAGGAAAACAAATTCATTTTTGGACCCATAATTATGAACAACAAACGTGAATTCCCTTCACATATTTTCAATCTCACCTTTTACACTACCAGTGAATTTCTCCATATCTCTCCTTGTTTTTGTAATATTACATGTATCCAGAAAAATAAGTTTCTCTTCCTCAGAATCATTGCAATCATCCAAACCATAACAGAGTCACTAATCAGTCAATTATTATCAACTTCCAACGCTCATCAAATAAACATTATGCCGAAAAATGATGCTGAAGACAATGCACAGCAGACAACCACACCTCTTATAGCCACGCAAGAGTAATTAAATCATATCCTAAGTCTCATAACTGTTCAGGATACACCAAGGCCGCATGCTCCAAGACCCCCACCTCAAGAAGCAGTTGTCAAGGTGGCCCGAATGGAATGGGGCCACGAAAACTTATTGTGTATATATTGGCCAGCTGACAGCGAAAATCAAGAGTGACTGGGAAATGTTGGGAGGGCATAAGGCTGTTTGTAACGAAATGATGAATACGCTCCCTACTGATCGCAAGCTTCGAGTTTCTCACTGGTTTCCATGCGGAGGGTCTACCCTCAATGGAGTACGTCAATAATGCCGTTAAGGCGTTCAATGAACATAAGAGGGCCTGGATAGCGATATTGCAGAGCCAGTCTCCAATCGAGGAGAGGATGATGGCGCTGGAGGAGGCAGTCAAGAAGAGCCCCGCGGATCCTATTCGCAATGCTGTTCAAGGAGTGGTATGAGTGAAGCCGCAATCAAGGTTCTATGCGTCGCTCGTTGCTCCGCTAATTGCAAAAACGGTAGTAAGGACAAGAATTGACGGAGCACAAAATCTGCAACTGCAAGAGCTGCTTCTCAGGGCACAACAACCCATCGAAGGAGCTTTTGCGATTTGCCAGATGCGAAGCAACAACACTAAGGTGTTCGCTCAGTCGGCCTTCTAGAGAGACGCGGCATTTAATAAGCGACAACCCAGCGAATTTAAAATTCTACGGCAAGATTTTCCCATCGAGGTTTCCGGGGTCCCACTGCAGACAAGAATTGAAGGTGGCAGAGATGCCAACAACTACACCATCATCCGGGAGATTGAGTTGGCGACGATGGCACGAATTCCAGGCCTGGTAATAAACAGAATACAATGGCTCCATAACGGAAAGGAACACCAGCAATCGAAGAAAAGTGGTCGCAATAGTGGATCAATTGTGGTAAGCCTCCTATCAGAGGCAATACAAAAGTAGGTAGTTCGATAGGGCCTTGTCATCAACGCCATGCTGTGAACCGCTCCATTTTGGTCACCACAGGCCCAGCTAAAGCAGTGTTATAACTGCAGGCAGTAGGAACACACCCAGGCGTCGTTTGAAAAGACATTCAGTTGCGATGAGTGCGCTGGTGCTACCAAACCAGGGGCTGTCTGAGGAAAAGTGTTTCGTGCGTGAACTGCGGAAGGGAACACTATTCATGGCAGAAATCAGCGTGTGGGACCTACCAGGTCTACAAGGGAAGTGTGGACAAGAATCGGATGGAGCTTCTATTGAGAACGGCGGAAACCCGAATGAGAAACCAAATATGGCGCCAATACAAACAGTCAGAACAACTGATTATCAGGGATTCACTTTGGTCACCAGTAATAAGGCCGAAGGACTCAAAAGATAACCAAGACGACCGTGTAAGCTAGTCGAAGCCCCAGTGGCACCAACAATCCCCGCCAAAAAAGCACCACCATCGGGGCCAACTTTTCGACGACCCACGCCAAATGAGGAGGTGCCTTCTCTCTTTAACATCTCATGAAGTTGGTCTAATCGAAGGGAGTGTTAATGAATTATGCGGAAAGCTTATGAATTTATGGTGGAAAGGAACGTCCTCAGTATTAAGCCGGGTTGGCTCAGAGTGGCAGGACATCGGGGTTTGTTTTGTTAAAAACTTTTTCCCTTACCAAAGCAGCATATTGTACTCACAGTTCTGTATACAGATACCGCATAGGACGTTAAACTAGAGAAATTCAATTCAAGGTGCTAGTGTTCTGACCTGCACTACACCCTAATCCTCATGCCGCACATTAACACCCAAAGAAGCATTACAGCTTACCTTTTAGCCCCTGTCAACAAATCAATATTGCTGTCACATTTCATCAGAGTTCGAAATTGGCTGAACATCTACCATCTTCCTTGTTATATCATATCCCTTTTTATGTGACGTATTTCCCTCGTTTCCGTCCTTCAATCCCGGATAGCCGTGCGATACTCTGAGTAATACCATGGCCGTTTCTCTTGTCCACGTTTGCAGTGAACCTCTTCACTCTGGTGTTGCAAACGTCTCTGAAAGCTACTGAAGTAACAGCGGCAAGGACTTGGCGCAATGGGACGGTGATATGCCCATCGGGGTAAAGCCAGCTCTAGAGGGCATTTTCTTTGCATCAGCGAGTCTGCTACAAATGTCAAGACTTCAAAACCTTCCTTCAAAATGCAATCTGATCTCGGTAAATTTAATTGCTGGGTTATTGATGCATGAGCTGCCTTTGCCGTCGCATCGGCTCTTCGTTTCCTAGTGTACCACTGTATCTCAGAACCCAGAAGACCACTATTGCTGGTCGAGTATTGCGTAACTCTGAGAAATATATTACCTTTTGTCAAACTCGAGGGTGCCAAAGGTAGCGTCGGGAGGGTTACTGAGTTACTTGGGTAGTATCTGAGGAGGTTGGCAAGAGTCAAAGGTATAAATTTGTAATTGTAACTAGAACTAAGGACGAGGGACGAGGGAATCTAGGATCGGAGACAAGGACAGTGGAAGACAGAAGACAAGACATGGCCCTCTACTGCGGCTCTGTCTAATCCATATATACATCATAGTAACCAGAGCAACCTAGTGTGACGGCTTGTAAGCCGATAATTACTTGTAGCCTACGCTGTCCAAGGTAGGCTTAACGTGATACTAGGTGGAGCCTATTCTCGGAAGTTGGGGCTTACAAGTGGCAATATCAATATTGTATAACTTCCGAGAATGAGGCGCAAGAGTGGGATACGAGAACAGATATGCGGAATACGGGTAAAAGGGTAAACGGATATAAAGCCATTTCATTGGCTGGGATAATAATCATGTGTAAAGTAGCTGTTATTATCCTCTTCGATCTGTAGTTCACCATAGATTGAAAATAAACTACCTCTGACCATAAGATTGCCCAAGTGCCTATGCTTAGACTGTGACACCTAGGCCTCTTAGGGTACACCTTCTTGAGGATCCCTGATGTTACGGCGTGCGCTAAGGATACTGGGGATCGCCGTCTGCCGAAGGTAAGGTATTAATAACTGTTAGGATTACAGTTGCTAACGAAGGATACTTAGATATGATTCGATTGGTGAGGTGCCAGGTAGTCTAAGGTTGTGGAACCACAGAATAGTCGAAAGACACGAAGTCAAGAAGTCGAGTTGCTGAGCAGGCGATCAAGAATGATAACTCAGGGTGAACAGAAGTTCGAAGAATGTAACAAATAACGAAAGACTGAGAATATCGGACTGTGAGAATATAAGATTATAACATTATGTAAATCTAGATTTCAAGATCAAAGATCAAAAGAATGAAAGATTGAGAAGCTGAAGAGCTACTATGTGGCAGCTCCAGCTTCCTTAAGTCTAACTCGAGATAGTACTTGAACTCAACTAAGACTATGACAAATGATAAATGCCGTCATGACGCCAGCTCCTCCATCTTTAACTGTCGGAGTTTTCTCGGAAACCTTCTCAGTAAACCTTTTCCCAAAACCTTTCTTAAAACCTTCTCATATCACCTTTTCCTCAGAACCTTCTCCTTGAAACCTCTTGAAGGATGCCTGGCCATAACACCTGATCATAAACATTCTATTATAATTTGTCACGTGTACCCCAGTCTTTATGCATAATGCGCACTAAGCTACAAATCTGTATATACTAGACATATCCTGTAAATTTAGAGTATAGTCATACACCATCTTAAAATTTCACGATATAGAAGATATAGCAGAAATCCAGAGACACTTTTGACCTACAATTTTCGTATATCCACATTTTACCACTGTATCATCCTAGGAACTTACAACCTCATTCTACTTAATTACTCAACTAGTAACCCATGGCAACCATTGCATCCCAGTAACCTCTTGTCAGGGAAGGTCATGAAGTAGATTGACGAGGTCTAATCTGGTGATTGAGATTGTCTAC